TTTATTTCTACAACATGAAGTGTGAATTAAAGGCTTTATGTCTTGTCGAGTGCCCAATTATCAGTCCTTACAAAAGTTCAGGGGAATTCATCTCTCCTTTTTTTCAGTATCTGTGAAACTGCCAGAACATTTCTTTTGTCAGGAAAGTATATTAGTTTACTTATACCCTATTGCAATGCTGAATAAGCACCTAACCTAAAAGCCTTATCAAGGATGTACTAGAATGAAATTAATGAAGGAGGGTAAAAGTGTGTGGGACAATCTGTGAATGAACTGACTGCTGAGTATGTATTACAAAAGAATGAATATCAAAATCTCAGTAACAGCTCACCCAGCCGTAAGAATAGTAATGTTGATACTGCAAAAGTAGATAAAGATTTACTTCCTAGAGTCATTCATATACAAACAAACAATACAGACACCAATAATCACTTTAATTCCAGCCCTACTAAGAGTTTAGACAAGGTCATTACAACAACGCATAGCTTATTCCATCGGTATGCCGATAGATGCAAGACCAATAATTACAACAACCTCACCTATTCTTGCTGAGAAAATTAACAAATGGCAATTTTCAGCCTATATATAGTCAAAATGAATGATAATAACCTCGTAATCGTTAGCAGTACCACATAGTAAACTGGCCATGCAACAGTCACACCAACTGGTCAATGAGTTCAGTGGTCGCAGTACCCCTTAAACCATACTCAACCAGAACTCCAGAAAGTGAAGATATTAAACCAGTCCAGAAGAACCATGAATCAGATTTCATCAATATAAACCTGCAAAAAGCAATGTTGATCAGTGCCGTAACATGTACTTCAGCCAGGAAACAGACATACAACACAATCTGTCCACGCTACACCATCCGGTTAAAAGTTCCTAGACAGCCTACATCTACAACGTCAACAGTAATGTAGATGATAAAGTTGCTCTCAGACCATCCACTCTTAGCCCTGGCCAAAAATCACTAAACTATTCACAACATAGTAAACGCTTCATAGCACCGAAGGTAATTAGTATCGCGTCATCATTATGTACTAATGACGATGCTGTTGATTGTTGTGTCACCGGTAGCCGCGTATACGCCACGGTTGCATTGTCTCTATATATAACTATGCCAACTACTTCTGACCGCCAAGTCGTTTCCCGAGATATAGGAAAATAATTTAGTACCTCCCATAAACTTTAGCTCTGTCCAACTCACCCCCACTCTTTAGACGACAAAATGAGAGATCACACTGTTGCCTCCAAAAGTGTACACCCCCCGTGGCAATAATTACGGAAGCTTGGTACACTTTTGATAAGCATATCTCTATTGAAAATTATCATCTAGCGGTACAAACTTAGTGAGTCTGACTCAGAAAAATTGGTGTTCAGACCTTTGCAATCTGATGTATGATGTGAACTATTGAAAGCTACTCACACCTTTTGGCAATAAGTATCGTAAAATATTCACGCATTTTACGTGTCTTTTAAGCCTACCTACCTACTCACTTATTAAATTAAATATTACAGGTAAAAATTATGCTCAAGCTGTTTCCCAATACAATTTGTATCAATTCCTGCAAAATTTTAATTACAGTGTGTATCTGAAAATTTAACCAACACTAAGTTATAACCTGTTTCAAAATAAAAATCATCAAGTGTGACCAGATTTGTAAAGAGAGATATCGTACGCAGTTTCTACTATCTCAAGAATGAGTAACCAGCATTATGATCTCGATTTAGTAAGGTGTGGCTACAAGAATGAGGTAATGATATTTCATAAAGTATTTATTTACACTGTAGAACTTAAAAGAAGAAATTAATTTCTTTTTAAAGCAACTGGTCCCTTTGATAAATTTAAACAGCGTAAGGAAGGTTGAACATGTGCCTAAGTGGCTACAAAAACAAATGACCTCAACAGATCCGATTAGTGTAGGTGACAAACATCCATTTTCGTCTATCGCTAAGCATATGCTAGGAACTAAACATAGGATAGACATGAAAACAGCCTTTAAAGTACTACATAAAAGTGGTCAGAGTCGAGTGCTTAAATTTATTGAAGCTCTTGCCATCCGTAAATTTAAATCCCCTTTATGTATACAAAAACAATTCGTATTCATGTTGAACCTACCTTGGTAGTATTGATTTTAATTTTCATACCAAGAGTAAGGTTTTCCTTTTTTTTTCTATCCCTTCCTATTCCTATGTTTCCTATTAACTTCATTGACCTTTTTCGTAAATTTTCACATAAATAGTTCGACAAGTCCATGTGTGATCAGATTGTTCGAAATGTATAGCGCTAATACATCATATGTTTCAGATAATCTTCGTCTTCTCATTACGCTGTTTTAATTTCTTTTTATAATAAATCATTTGGAAAAGCAGTAAAGTTTGTAGGGAACTGTATAACTCTGAAAATAGCAAAGAAAGTCTTCTATTATATGGCTGATAATCCACTTTGTGAGTAGAGTGATTTAAAACGCTAAAGAAACATTCTAAACTTGTTTCATCTTACATGTTAGAATATTTAATAATAAAAGGGCAACAACGATGCATTTTTCTACTGAATATAACGAATAACTATTGTATTTTGCCTAGTGTTGGCTATCATTTGGACTCAAGATACGCGTTCCCTTCTATTCAAGACTCTTTAACTGTATTAACCTTCAACCCTGATAAGTGAAGGCGTCCTCACTGCGACTGCGATATATTGTATCAAACGCCAGAGCTACTGACTGACAAGACTTACTTCTTATGCAGCAGATACCAGTTTGGTCAACCATCAATAAATAACTATCGGGTATAATTACTTCGTCACAAGACGACCTCACAGTTGACTAGTAACTTCATTTCTTACGCAAGGGATGTTAACATCACATAGATTGAAAGACGAACTGCACACTATTTCGTGTAAATGAGAACGTTGTCTGTATCCCCAATAGTATAGTGGAAAAATCATTGCAGCAAGACCCAGTCTTCTACGCTATCCGGGTTCCCGGCTAAAGTTTAAAACTCAGTAGTGTCACATTCTGATGTAAAGATGAATTCATTCGGTGCGAACTGAAAGCCGTTAGCTTCGTGAATATTGGCAATATGCTACAAGGAAAATTTACAACCTTGAGGGCAATTCTACTTTTTTGCAGACTGTAACATGTGTTATGCCAAGTTCTTTGTGGAGCGTATAGTAACGCTGAGACAGTGATTGAAGAGCTGTAGTAAAGTATTTGATCATGATGCTGAAATATGCATTATTCGATGACGGAGTTTCAACAGAACGGTAGCAATTTGACTTACTTTACTACTGATTCCCCATCAGTAGTATGCATGTTTCTACTCAAAATGAAGTCAATCATCAAATGATTTACGATGAGAAAAAATCGCAAAAGAACCAAGTCTTCTGTTCAAACTCTGTTTAGTATCATGTGATTTACAATTAGATAATAGTTTATATATATATATATATATATATATATATATATATATATATATATATATATAAGTATATTCGATCATCGAATCATTAGTTTTTCCCTTTTCTTTAGTTGATACACAAAGCAGACAACAAAACAAAAAAATAGAAGTAAAATGAAACAAAGATAATAATAAGGATAACAAAAAGCACAATTTATGACTAAAAGTTCTGAATTTGGGAAGAACCTTTTTTACGAGAAGACAAAAAAGGTATACTACCATCGATGTATGACTTTCCTTTATTTCTTTTTGCCCTTGTCCTATATAACTTAAATCTTCTTACCTTTCTATATATAGATGTTTATATCCATGTCTACTACTGTGCTGCAGAAGAACACAGGTGAATATTAAAAGTGTAAGAAGTTGGTACTGTTGTTTCTCTCTGAAAGACGAATCCTATTCGCACATGATCTCATCAAGTGTTGCACAAAAGATTTCGCTTGAAAATGAACATGGAAGGAAATTTTCCAACATAAAACAAGTGATCAGGGAGGAAAAGAAGTAATTCAATAAAAAGTGAAAATAATTTTCAAACAAATAGAGATATTTTATCAACAAGATAGTAAAACAAGTAAAAAATCAACTTTACGTAGGTTATTATGATTACAATAAAATATGATATTTCAAACAAACATGTTGACAACAATCAGGCAGGAGATAAATGAGTTGTTTGACTAAAATGATTGCAAAATATGTTGAAGAAAGCTACAAAGAAAAGGGAGATGAACAAGATATATAAGAAGGGACAAATACTGGCCACCTGACAGCATAGAAGAATGAGAAAGTGAGAGGCAACTGAGTGTGTATGATGCGTGTAAGTGTCTCTGATGATTGCATACAGACAAAAAAGAGTTAAAGTAAATAAAGATGGACCGGGATAGCAGAATACCTGGGGGCTTCTAAGAAAAAGAAAGTAACACTAAGAATAGAGTCAAGCCGGAGTATGAAAAAAATAAGCAGACAAATAGAAATCCGACATAATACTGTCAGCACTGTGTCGTGATCATCATTAATAATAATAGAATAAAAGTTAAAGCAGGTAAAAGACACACACTGAAGTATTCCAAAATAAAACCCAAGGCAAATAAGTCTTGGTAAATAAGTGGAAACTGAAGGTTAACAGAAAAAGCATTGAAAGTTGTAGACACAGAATGCATATCTGAATGTGAAGAGACTGAGTAAGTACTCTGAATAGATGGTTACGGTTAATAGATTACAGTATGATACACTAGCTGTTGTTTACAATAGACTTTGTTCATCTAATAAAGCAAACCATTTTCACACAAATTTGTCATGATTGAATAATATTTATGAATATATAGAGAAGGGAAAGTTCAACTCGTCGTTTACAAAAGTAGTTTTAGTGGTAGCAACCAATCAGGTAGAACTAAACAAATACATACACATATACTGCGGCATCAGGACCAAACAAAAAATCATGAAGAACAGATCTCTGAGGGAAATCAGTAGTGGGATAAATAAATAAATAAATAAATAAAGACATACCTCTGGGTTCTAAACGAATAAATGAATAAAGCATTTTATGACATTCCACGCGAAAAACTTCGAAAAAATGATAAAATAGCAATCAGAATACTACGCCAGTACTGAGTTCTGTGACGCACCGTACCAGGATTTTCTGTAATATCATCTTCCCTGAGCCATGTAATGATAGGATCAGATGTGTACACAAGTAGACAGCTCGCCAACATTGTCATGGAGAAGCAAACCGCAAGTTTTCTAAGAGAGAAGTGGATAACGAAAATAAAACATACTTGAAGTATGAGAACGAAGACTAATCACAGTTTGTATGAAGTGTAGTGAAACTAAAGAACATGTTAGACTATGTGAAATTGAGCTGAAGAAAATGACTAAATTGGTGCCAAAAAGTAAACATTTAGGACCCAAGTTAAAAACATTCCTCATCATATTACATTAGGCTGATCCAAGCATTTACAAGAAATAAAATATCTCTGAGAAATATTTATTTTCCTGCGGACAACAACTCGATTAGAGGATCAACAGGTAAGAGAAGTCGGTGGCTATAAGAAGTATCATCACTGACGATAAACCATATCAAAATGATGAAAACAGGTGAACAGTATGAACAACCATCTCTGGTGACTCTCAGTAATGATCACAACTACATATTGCTTCCCGACAGCAAAACGCTAAAACCAGAACTATCCTGTATCCTAAAAGGAACTAGTGAGCAATTTTTCATATGCACATGAATCTTTATCTTCAAGAAAGAAAACTACTGAATTATTTGTCTGTGATAATAATAAGAAATCTCCTTGTATTCCAATTCGTAGTGAAGCGGACAACATATTGAGAATGCAAGACCCAGTATAATTGCATATTCATCCATGTTGTTACGCTCCATATCAAAACATATGAGAAAAAAGTCAGAGGTACAAGAGAAGTGGAACGCGGTAGCAAAGCAAACATATTATGATGGAATAAAAGGCAGACAGAAACATAACACTGAAGTTTTGGACGGAGAAATGGTGTGGATTCGCCTCAGAAATCCGTTACCGAATACAAGTAACACACTACCCAAAGTCTTCCATTATCGTGAAGAAACTAACCAGAAAGTTTACGAAAAATCGCACCATCTGAGTCTCTTGGACTCTACGTCTAGTCTTCCTTATGGTGTGGGGCAAAAAAGATGATAATTCTAGATGTGTAACATAAGTCTAAGCCAAAGTGGAAGTAGAAAACCTTCACCATCCAAACCATTCTACGTGCAGCTTGATGAGGAGAATATCGACGTCACTTTCAAAAAGGAACTGGATACACAGTTATCGAAAAAGACAGTTATTCATCTTAAAGGAGTAAGATGTTATCCTCAGTCACCTATAAAAATAGCGTTAACGACAACAAGCAGCTTTTATAAAGACTTTAGAAAGGGTCAGTGAACCTCAGCAGCTTCATCTGAATTACTGGATTTACGTTAATGCATTCTTCCAGATTACGAGCACAATTAGGAGCAGAAACAACTAAAATATAGACTGCCAAAAAGTCTACGCAGTGGCCATGGATAGTGGTAGGCACTGAAGGCTAAATAGATGGAAAAAGTAGCAGCGATAGGTAGTTACCTAAACTAATAAAGGAAGCTGAGGGTGAAAACATCATTGGTTAGTGAGACTATAGCGGTGTTCGATTCATTCGTATGAGAAACGATGAAAGCGATGGGCAGAACACTTTGAGGAACAGTTCAACTGGCCTCCACCTAGTACTACTTTGTCCACCATATCCAGTCACATCCTGAGTGAACCATTGATATAGGATCTCCAAATCTTGAAGTTGGGAAGGCCGTAAGTAACCTGAAAAGAGGAAAAAGGAAGCAGCTTCGAAGGAATAGGACGAGAAGTACTGAATGATGGCGATCAATAATTATTGGGTGGATTTACTAAGGCGTTAGCTGGTGCACAGGAATCAGATACGGTCTTCTCTGACTGGTACCTACAAAAGATTGTCCCTAGTTGTCAAAAGACGGGAGGAATCAGTTGTACGAATATAATGTCTATGACACCAGATTTCATATAATCATTAGACGGCTAAGTGAAGCTCGGGATCACAGAACGCGAAAAACTACGTAGGTTTTAGACCCGGTTGTGCGTGTATCAACCAGATGTTCATATCGTCATAGATACTGGAGCACAAACGAACTTACTGCCACCCAAAACTAGCCATATTTCTCGACTTGAAGCCAGCACTTGACTCCGTCAACCAAGTCACCGTATGGTAGTGTCGCTCACAGAAAAGGGTGCCAATTTAGTAAATCACCCTATAAAAAGCTCTGTATCTAAACACATGTAAGCGTGTCAGAGTCTTTAGTGCGACATCAGATGAAGTGTCTACTTTGAGTTGAGTAAGCCCATGTTGTTCACTCTTTCCATCCTCATCTGACTAAGTCAAAAGCGTGCTTGTGGACGCCTTTTGCTTCTCGTTTGATTTTTCAGACTGACATTGCCACAGGAGACTTCTTAGTAGACATAGAGTATGCAGGTGAAGATATTGACAAGATGCTGAGTCGGCTGGACACTATGAGTGGCATATTGAGAATGTTTGGGATGCGTTTCCCGCCGCACATACATAAACTGTCGCTCCAAGGCTGGCGTGTATTATCACACAGCCTAATAATATAGGAGAGAGTGATTAACTGCGTTGTCTGCTTTACTTGAGAAGTTAGATCAGTCATGATGGGTCAATGAAAGATGAAATCTCTATAAGGGCATAAATTACTTTATTGGTTTTCACCAACTTACAACATCTATGGTGCCACCGAGATATCCAACTGTCTACACGGCTGTGAAACATGGCCACTAAAAGTAGAAGACTTTAAGTACTGAACCAACGTTACCTTCGTAACGTAGGTGTGTCATCAAGTTAGTAATGCAGAAATCAAACATAGAGTTTCAGACAAAAGAACAAAGCAAGTTGATGACGTTGCGAACCTTAACGGACTCACATGGCTCGAATATGTATGACGCATGTCTGGTCACCGTCTGCTCCGTCATACACAAGCAGACTCCCGGTGAGAAAAGGTCAGAGAAGGCAATAACTAAAACATGGCATAAATTCTTGAAGTTTCTGACTTATCGGACTAACTACGTCGATGACAGCCGATGCTTTCTTCTACTTATTCGTCGATACTGTTGTGCAGTACATTCATACCTTCAATAGGTATTCGAACATTTCACTTACGTCATAGGTAACACAACGAAACAACAGCTAACTTAGTCTTATGTATTTTTGTTGAGAGTTCCCCAAAAAGGTAGATGTTAGACCCCACCTAACCACATTCGAATCGTTACTTAAAAAATTCAAATAATCTTACCGTATGTCAATTAAAGTAAGTTGAGTAATATATTTATATAACAGAGAGAAAAAGCTAACTAGTAAAGCAAAAACTTTGAGACAATAAATCAGATACATTAAGGACGCTTCACTCATCAATAATTACCCTTCCAAATTAATTCTCGAACCCACAAACTCACTTAGTAACAAGCTTTGTAGGTTACAATATCCTATTGCTGCAATTAGGCAGAATCATTTAGTTTACTAAATCCCTTGCAACGACTGTGACGTCAAATACATAGGTCAAACTAGTCGACCAGGGTCAACTAGGCAGTTCGAACACAAAAACCTAGCTAAATCAAGATTGATAGCTCCAAGTGACATAAGGAATTTAGAGGAAAGTTCGACTATAACCAGGCATGTAATCACACACGACCACACAATGAGATAGGACAAAGTCACAGTTATTTAAAACTAACTTCGTGGGGTATGGGGCGAAACTGATAACCAACACGAAATAAGTGAAACAAGAATGCCTGAGAACCTGTTTCATATTTATGGAAAATTCTAATTCTCGTATCACAAAGGATGAGAGAACATTAGAACCGTATTGATCATATGCACAATACATTGTGTCCAAAACACGACCCACAGAATAATGCCGATTCACTGTGTGATACGTCCAATAAGTCAACTGAAATGGAATTACATTCTAGCCCAGTGCCCCAGCTTTACTCTTATATTAACAAATAGAATAACTTTCCAATACTATTAACCTAGCATAAACTGAAAAATACATGAAAAACATTAATATACCAACATACCGATTCTCTGTTAGCACAGCACCCAAATTTAAACAGCGTATAAGCACTTGCAGTAACATAGTGACCAATGCAAAGAAGGAGACACACAAATCAGTTAAGTAGTGTAACACTTTACGACGAACACGCTCTAATTCAGTCCCATGTGATCCAAGTGTACTAGATTGATCATTAGGTTTTTCAATCATACTCACCTGAAAAAGTTAAAACAATATCACAAGATTTCAAAACAATGAAAGTAAAAAAGTTACTGAGAGACAAGAAATATTTATAATTGTTGGTAAAACACAGGACACGAAGGTAACAAACGAGTCACATGAAGAGATTTTAAAAAGCGCAGACAAATATTGGTTACATAATTATCTTTTTTAAACAGATGGATACCTAAATAATCCTAAGTACAGACTTGGGAGTAGTACGAAGTTCATAGGTCAAATAACACAAGAATTGGAAAATATATCCACCAATTATATCAGGCGAAAATCTTGCTACACCTCAAACTGACTAAATTCGCAGAATATAGAAAACTAAGTTCCAACCCAGTGGTTAAATACTATAATTCACCTATGGAAATTCGAAGTTTTTGAACTCTATGTCATATGTGGTAAAGACGGTTGATTGATATGAAGTCCTGAAATAGGCCGAAACAAATATTCAATACTACCCAGTTTCTAAAGGTCATCTGTATACAATCAGTGTCTAATGATGTTTTTTCTCCAATTATTCAATTCCTTAAACAATGTTCAAATAGAAAATTGTAAGTTACAGCTTGAGGGAAGAAAGGCTACCATTTGTTGACCCTAAAAAAACTTTTACATAAAGTAATTTAGTCTCACAGTTCTGTCAATACGTTTCAAGCTAGAACAAAAGAGTTCGCAAAACGAGTACAACAATATGTGCTTCTATTCTCACTAAATTATCATTATAGCCACTTACTTCATTTCATAAGGTGTATTGTTACTTGTATAATACCGGCCTAGTATATTAGAACAAATAATAAAATAAACAAATATTTTGTATTATTCATCAACGTTTCGACCTTGCTAGGAAGATTCTATTCAAGAGTATGAGTCTGACATTAAGTTTTCAAGTTAATATTTAAGTTTTGGTAGAGGTGACCTTTATGGTCATTCAATTACATTATGATATGGGACAAAGGAAAATGTAACGTGAGTTAATTAGCAAATCGGTCAGAGAGGCTTTTTTCAGTTGTGTAAGGTGAAACAAAAATAGGGTGAGGAAATTTAGTTCGACTACGTAAAGTACAGTGGGGTTCTGAGTTATCAAGGGTGAGAAGGAATCGATCACTAGTTTCGAAAGATGAATATTTAAACATTAAGCAATATATAATAATTAATAATAATGATAATAATAGTGACAACCATAAAGGTACTTTTGATAACAGTTGAAGTATGGATGATAACAAAATGCACTGTGTAATATAGAGAATGGTTCGTAGAATGTATGGAACTCAGAAAGGAGCGTAAAATTGATGAAAATAGTAGATCAATTAAGTATTTTGTAATAGGATTAGACAAGCAGTTGAAATATAACCAACATTTTTTTGACATGATTAAGATGATTAAGCGATATAACACCGGAAACCGTTCAAACATGAATAAATTGGGAATACACCATGTGGAATTCGGTGGAATGAAGTTGTGTTCTACCTTCTCTTCATATATTAATTGCAACTGTCTATACGAGTCATTATTGTTTGACATATTTGTGGGATATGTAACTCATCTTTTCCGTTGACCGAAGAAGGGTACGAATAGATGTACCAAGCTTATGGGATAGCCTGCTCTTTGTGAGAAAGAAAACCATTTTGCAAGACTTTTGCATTTTCGAATGATATTTTATGACCTAAATATAAGGCATGAGTCACGATGACAGTTTTTTTCAAGCTTTTCCAGATCATAGGAATTTTTTGGTGGTTTCTTTTAACTTCGATCGTGTTCGGTTAGACATGCTAGCACTTCACGTGATGTCTCTCCAATGTATATGCCACCGCATTTACTACAGTCTACCTTATAAACACAAATCTGTTGTTCCGAATGGGGAATCGGATCTTTTAACTTAAACAGGCGCGAGTGCAATGTATTCGTCACCTTAAAGAATACTCTGATGTTGTCACTATTAAGGATACGTCTTATTTCCTCTGATGTGGATGTTCGATAAGGAAGTACTATAGTACTTATCCAATCTTTATGCTTTGGATTTTCCGTATCTCTTTTCGATAAACTTTTTTGTATCGTTTTTAGTAGCCTTTCGAGATAGTTACTTGGTTTTAAGACTTCTCGAACAAGTTGTCTATCTGCTTGCTGTGATTACACTTTATTTGGTATTGTTTGTGATCTCGTCAACAGATTTTTGGCAACGTTTAACTTAGTTTCCAATGGGCGAAATGAGTCGAAGTGAAGGGTACTTGTTAGAATGTGTACCTTTTCGATAGACATCAATGTCAAGTGTCCCGTCATTGTTTTGCATGGCTCTGGAGTCTAGGAAAGCTAAGGTTCATACCACGATGTAATTGGATGACTATAAAGGTCACCTCTACCAAAACTTAAATACTAACTGAAAACTTAATGTCAGACTCATACTCTTGAATAGAATCTTCCTAGCAAGGTCGAAACGTGGATGAATAATAGAAAATATTTGTTTATTTTATTATTTGTCCTAATATACTAGGCCGGTATTATACAAGTAACAATACACCTTTTACGAGGAATCATAGTAACTCGGTGCCCAAGTTTTTTTTTAAACCATCCAGTTCACTGTTGGTCAGGATACGTTCAAGCCACTTACTTCCTTTCTGATTACAGACTTTTTTCAAATTGATCAATAACTGAATGGTTTACATTACAGATAAACAATCAACAAAAGTTAATTGAAGAAAACCGATAAGAACGTTAACTCTATGCTTATAAAAATCCATTTTGAACGGAAATAGATGGTAAAGAGAACATTAACAATTACCTATCACCTATCCAAGAGGTAGTGTTAGCTAAGTGAGGAGTGTTTAAAGTGTTTCCCAAAATTCATACTAAATCAATTGCAATCTCTCTAGCCGATACAGATACGCCCATGAAGCACACATATTACAGTAGGACTAATGTGACTACTCAGTTTTCAAAACAGAAGTAAGTGGAAAGGAGGTGCTTCTGAAACTTACTCCTTGACTAGAGTAGCATCCATAATGAAGTCAGGTTTGGTAGAAAGCAATGTTATATTCAAATAGGTTTTTCATAGCCATTTCGTTAGCATTCTTTAATTTTACTTGATTAGGCGTATTAGACGATTGATGCTCAACACCACTGGCATGCATACATTCAGGGTTTTCGCCCATTATAGTGACCAGTAGCTGAAAACTATTGTGATCATTGAGAAACCTAAAGATCCAAGTTAAGCTATACCAAGCGGGGTGAAAATAAATACTCAGTGGTCCCATCATCAGTTTTATAATCTTGCACAATAAATCACACTTCATGAATACTTTAGTGGTAAGGTCTCTGCTGCAGCAATGGGTTCGAATCTTTAAAAGGACATTAGTTCCATGAAGGTGGGAGGTATCACTTGCCACCGAATGCTAAAAAGTACGAAACCTGGGTTAAGTAGAACCTACTAACAACTACCTCCAACCACTCAACATGCACTGCGATGGCGGGTAATCTAGTCTAGCAACCAAATCGCAAAATGATTGACAAGATTCCATAAGCACATACGACTAGATAACATCAAATTGGTCAGTCCTCTTCAGTGACAAGTCAATTTACTTCATGTACTGATTAAGTCCCAAATAATAAGACAGTTTGGTATTTTGCATAACAAAAACAGAAATCAAAAGGAACCAATGATGAATAAAACAGGGAATTAATTTACCTTATTATTAATACTTGTTATATTATCACTTAAATCACGTATTTTTGTGGTGACTTGATATTCAACTGAATACAGTGAATCATGAAACTCGTTACGGAGTGTTGTTAATTCATGTGGTAAAGCTTGTCTTGATTCTTCAGCGATAGCATCCAACCGTTCAATGCGTGAACTGGCATCAATTAACTTTTGATTTTGTAATTCAGCTTTCGTTGTTGCATCACGCTTGAATAGGAAAAAAAAAGAAAGTTATGTTGGAGTTGTTAATACGTTAAACTTAATTTTAAAAAAATTAAAATACTTAGTGTACGATAAAGAAGTTATTTGACGATAAATTGTTATCATTTGCTTTTCCTTTTGAAAAATTTTAATCCAATTCAAACAAAACATATCAGAGAACATCATCAGTGGGTATAACCATCACAAAATTCCGTCAATTTAAATCCATTTTACTTTGTCTCTGAGATATTATATACAATAAAATGGTATAACTAAACGGATAAACTATTCGGCCTAACTTATCTCAATAAACTAAACTCAAGAAACTTTTTCTCATGCAAGTTTAATACTTTGTTAATTATTATATGCAATAAATGCAGCCGAGTAACCAAGTGTGTGTTCATATTCAAGATTAGCCAGTGGGTTCGATCCCCGGTTCACCTACCCAGGTTTGAACAGCCAAATAGCCCTCACACAATAAGTATGGCTAACTGCCTATTATTGTACAAAGGTGTTGAGTGCGTCTCGTTTGACTTACTAAATCTTGGGGCTTTTTATGAAAACTAAATTTCGTAAATACTTTAGAGGATGGATGATCTTTCCTACACTGTATCCCTAGTAATATTTTCTCAGTTAAAAAAACAACGGCAATTTGTAGATACACATTTAGTACAGTATTCACATAGTATAACTATCATCTTTCTATTTGTTTACTGGAAATAAATATGTGAATTAGCTACTTATTTTCACTCAAAGAAAAGCAAAGAATGTATACGCCAAAATAGATGATAATGCCATGTTAATATACACATAAAAAGACAAACAAAACACTGGGAAGAAAAAAAGTCCAAGAAATGAAGAAGATAATAACAGTACTGACTTATATGATATTTTGGGCATAGAAGGTCTGGGATAGCTTACAGTGCATAAAATACTTTCTCATGTGAACTGATCAAAAGGTGGTAGCTTTGCACCTTAGTGTTAACTACACTTTATCAAACGCTCAAGCAATATTGAGCTTAAAATAAGTAGACTAACACAATACAGTGGAACATAGGTGGAATAAATTGTCCGTAGATGCTGACGACAAATGCAACAGCGCATCTCTGATGAAAACTACTAAAATTTTCCATCGAAAAACTTCAGTAAAATCAAGTTTTCTCTGATTTCTCTGGTTTATGTATTCTTCAGCACAGTTGTTCGAAACTTACTGACCACATAACTAATCAGTAATGTCTATAGTTACGATAACTAAAAATTTATAAGCTTTAACTCAGTAATAGTGATGCAGTGCTTTTATCATACAAGAGGGATTCCATGAAAGCAATCATCGAAATACTGCGGATAAAAGGTAGAAATCCACTCAGCTACCTTGTGCGTGAGGTCTGATGAGACCATCTGGTTGCCCAAACCTAAGTGGAGCTATGTTCGAACCCCTAACCTAATGCCTGACAGTCAACTCCCTAAACCAATGAGCTACAACTCCACTTCAAAATACTCTAGCCCCTTGTGACAGATATTTCACAGCGAAATAATAGGACAAAGAGTAACATGTCTAATATATTTTAGGTTATCTCACCAGCACAATCAGCGGCATAGGTACCCAGTCATAATCTCATATCAGCTAGCATGAGTCCTCCCGTAAGTGTGATTGTCAACATACTCAACCAGTTCGATACTATATTGATAAACTAGGAGAAGATACAGACCAGTTCTAAGAAAAAACCTTGTATACAGGGGATGAAAAATCTACTCCTAATGCAGTCAAATGTCGACGTCATGTCAAGGAATACAAATGGAATAAGGCTTAGTGGCATGTGTGCTTGGTTCGCTATAAGTCGAGGCATCCTAACTTCACTTGGACATCATCATGGAAATACTTCAATATTACTTATAATTCATTCACTATAGAGATATAAAATTTAAGTTTTTTCCAAAGATATAAAACGTGGTATTGGACCAACACAGAAATATTACGCTGTATGGTTCCGCCAACAATAATTCTCCGATTTCCTTTATCAAAGCAGATATTCATACAAAGTCCACTAGCCGCAGATATTACAGTTTCCTACTTCAATGCTGTTGTGCTCTCTGAGCTGGATTGTTTAATTGTAGAGCTTTTATAGTCATTCTACACAACATAACCAGTACAAACTTCCCAAAGAAGTGAGCTATAAGTTTTTCTCAGCAATTTATTTAGTGGCTTGTCCTAATGGCCTTGTATGTAACTGATTGTTTTAACCAAGGTTTTGTCGTTATATCCATGTTTATTTTGATTGGTTGTCTTGATGGCCTGAAACTTGACCTTCTTGTTGTTTCATTTTGGTTGGTAGACTGGGTCAATGCCAGTATGTTTGTTAATTGATGACTGACCTAGATACCAAGCTTCTAAAAATTCTCTGACATTCTTTGCATTTTCTCTATCCAGGATTTCCACATTTTCCCAGTCAAATTCATGTTCACATTTGTCTGTATGCATTGATATAAGCAAAGATATGTCATGACGCTTCACTGCTAGTTGATGTTTATGTAGATGGATGCGAAGAGGGCAACCATTCTGTTCGATGAAGTGCTTTTAGCAGTTTGTTTTGTGGATAATGTTTGGTTTGACTTCCTTTGCTATTATATCTTCTGGCCTGTATAACGGAGATTAAAGAGATTTTGTGGGTGTGTGAGATACAACGATTTTTAGAGGCTCCAATAATTTAGTCGTGGTTTCGCAGATGTTTTTCATATAGGGGAGGAAGATCCATTTGTTCGTTTCCAAGGTTGCCTTCTTGGTTGATAATGAATTATGTAAATATTTTTTGATGACCAAGTCCGAGAAACTTCTCCTACAGGAAGTATGAAACTGCAATACGGGGGACGCTTCAGGACTAGAATTCTTCCCACCCCTTGAGTCATCACTGGACTTCAGGACTTAACTCTGAAACCCAACAGGAAGTAAGATAGATAATCGTACCTCTGACCAAGTGGAAGCAAACGTGCACCCAACCAATCGGTGAATAGGAAGAACGTCGTTATAAATCTAGCTGACAAAGGGCACACCACAGTAGTCATACATAAAGCCGACTACATCAAAAAGACAGAAGACTTACTCATGAAGCGAAATGTACATCAATCAATGTAGGCAAATTTCATTCAAAAGTTTGATAACCAAATCACTAAGACCTTGAACAAACTCGTCAACGCTGGACAAATTACAATGCAAGTGCAATGGTGAGTGACATCCAGTGGACCTGTTCTATCACGTTTCTAAGGTAGATCAAAAATACACAAGTCAAACATCCCAATATGACCAACTGTTTCACTTCCAGGAACCTCAACATACAATCTTTCAAAAGAACTCTTCAGAAAATTAAAACATCTGGTAGGATCATGCAACCACTCTATGGACTCTTCGACACAATTATGGAAAAGACCAAGCATATTCATATGGACAAAGGCAAACTAATAGTGTCTTTCAACATTACAGCTGTATACACTTTAGTTGAACCAAAACTGGCCAAGGATACAATGACTTCTCTTCTCATGAATGATACATACCTCTCGGAACACACGCAACTGCAATGTTCAAGTTGGATGGAATTAATTGATTTATGCCTTACAACATATTTCCAACTCAACGGCAAACTCTAAGAATATATAGAGGGAACATCCCCGGCATCGCCTACATCAGGACTGATTGTAGAAGTAGTAAAGCGAAGATTGGTAACCGTGGTATTGCCGCTGACCAAACAGAAACTTTAGATCCGATATACAGATGACACGTTTGTCATCATTGAAAGAAACAAAGTGGAAAACGCTCACGATCAACCACATGTTCGACGACATCAAATTCACAACTGAAGGGGAATCAAATAACAAACGTGCAGTTTTAGATGTTCTGATCACTAAAACGGATTTGAGGAAATTGGAAGCTGGAGTATACGGAAAACCAACTCCTACGGGCCAAATCCTCAACTACAGTAGCAACTACCCAAAAGCACACAAAATCAGTTGTATAAAAACATTGTTCAAAACAGCGAAAACACAATAATACATCAAACCTGTAGAGGAAATAAGAAATCTATCTTATGACTGTTTTGCAGTAGAACGGCTGTCCACGCAACTTCATCAAAAAATGTTGACATAATTGGTCATCGACCAAGAAGTTAACCTCGAAAATGAACAAACGGATTGTCCTACACCTATATGAAGGACGTCTGCTTAGTCTGTACAAAGTAGGCTACTATATATATCCACCTCACTTTCAGCATATCCTTCGAACTTTCCCACAAACCTACCCTAATATGATCAGAAACAATGTAGAATCGAAAGACGGACCTATGTGAACCATAGTAAGCTCTTACGGTCAGTGACAAACATTATGTTTCTGCAAAATACAAAGAAATTTAATAATAGTCAGTTTGACAGGGGAAAGAACGCGTTCGCTGCGAGACATGATGCACTGCGTAAGAGTCACAAAACACGAGAAAAAATCTGCCAATTGCTCCTAGCTTTTCGAAGGTTCTCAAAATGATGTCCGCCGGAAATGAAAGCTACCTTGAAAGTATTAAGATGTACTACAACATAGTCATAGGATATCAGTTGTAAGACAGATGTTTCACATGGAAGAAAGAGATGAATACTGACTCTATTGAATAGAAGCACTGTCCCATCAATCATGAGAGTATGTTCATGCACATACATACATCAGTAATTGGAATAAATCTCATTAGGGCTTGATGAGCCTATTTAACGAAACTGCAACTATGAATTTAGTAGGTGCCATACAAAGACCTACTCACTGCAAATGATCTATATTTTCGCTGATAACAATCGCTTTTTAGTGATTCTGTAGACTTCAGGATCAAAAATTAATCTAATAGAGTTGAATAAGTTGAGCAAAGATAAATGGATTATAAAGGAAATATGTTTTTGAAATCCTAATGAGGTAGAAAAATAAATTTCTGATGTTTCACGATCCCATAGAAGTTGCTTCTTCTTCTCTAAAGAACTATACTTTTACTAGGAAATCAGAGTAAAATTAATAAAAGTGTAGATGAAGAACTGTAACATCTTATAGATATTCAGATCCAGCTGAGTTTCAATGGTTGTATAAAGCCACTAGCACTAAATAACAAACCATTAATAAAATAACCTTGTTTTTTGTTCATTGAAAAATACAAAGACCAAAATAATGAGTTATATATTATGAGCAGGAGTTTATTGGAAGCCTTCATAGCAGATCCGAATAGTCTGTACAAACATATATATATAGCTGGATCATCTCCAACCAATTAACTTAGGAAACAGTACCACGATGGTTACTTACTGCTCGTGGAAATGTGGTTTTATGAATTTGCACACCTATGACTTTTAATCACCGGGTACATGTGTTTAAATCCCGCAACATACACAAAGGTTTGATCATAATCAGATACATATGATTAGTCTTAACACAAAAGAATGAGTGATTCATAAGTTGCAACAAAATACAATAAGTTTATTTCTATAGACACCTTGATTAGACAGCTTTCATAAACAGTGGATATAGTTATCTTAAGATTATCCTTTAGAGAGAACTATATTCCGCTGGAAATAATAGTAAGGATTAATTGAATTAACAGTTACAGTGGTCACTCAATGATTTCATCAATGAATCTGATAACTGATAGATAAAAGTTCAACATTGAAGATAGCTGATCTCATGGACGGTAATGAAAATCCTACGAATATGTTGCTGGTTCAACATGCTTAAAATATACGCTACATTCTGTTAATATTATTTATTAGACAATAAAAGCACCTGATAAAAAACTTAAACACAGCGAAAAAGACTGTTATCATAATTTTTTTAAAAACAGTAGCAAAGATCACGCAAAGCAGGAGAATAACAACTTACTCGAATAGCTTCCAATTCTGTTGTTAAATTATTTAGAGATGATTGAATATTAAGTGTCTCACTGCGCATAACAGCTAACTCATCACGAAGTTCTTGAAATATCTGTGATTGTTGATTTGTAAGCAAGGTGAATTGACACTCTTGACGTCGATAAAGGTAGGCGAATGCAAGAGCTAAATTGTTTGGTGATACAGTTGTCAATGTGCAATCTGGACGAGAACTGTTGATACCAATACCACCAGTCATAGCACTATAAGGAGTATTAAATGTATCCGATGGGATAATATTTGCTCCACTTATATGACTTTTTGATCCAGCCTTAGATTTGTCCAAAATACCTAATCCTGATGCAGATAATGCGGATGAACCAGATGAACCAACACCGGGCATATTATTATTACCGCTAGATATCAGATTTTGACCATTACTATAAACTTGACTTCCGGAAACACCAAGAAATTCAAATATGCGCATAAGTGTATTGTCACCGCTTTCTGACCATGAATTAAACCCTCCTATGTTTCCAGTGTTACCAGATGGATCAGGATTTATATCATCTTTTGAAGCACCTCCAACAGCAGCACCAACACCACCTATACCACTCAAACCACTAATCATACTACGACCACCACCATCATATCCAGTACCGATTGGGTTGACTCCATTGGTAGAAGACAAAGAGCCAGTACGTATCGGTTGAGAATTACTGCTGGTTAAATTCTCAGACAAGAATATGTTAGATGAGTTAGGCTAAAATTAAAAAAAAACATGAACATAAAATAAGGCGAAATATAAAACTGGGAATAAAAACAAGTAATTGAAGATACACCAACTTCCGAAAACCGCAGATCATAGGCTTAGTTATTTGACTTCCAATAAGTGGTTCTCAAGTTCAGTTCCAAGTGAAACAAGGCCGGACAGCAAGACAGCAAGATTTTAGTTCATGGTTTAGTCTAGTGTATAAATCTCCTTGCAGTGCTTGAATTCAGTTGATTAATCCAATACTAAGGCGGTTTCAAATAGAAAAGAACAGGATGGTAAATATTAACTGTTGGCTTCATCAGTTGCACAGACAAAAAGATGGGAATTAAGATAAGAAAGGAGGCAAGTAGCCCATTGTCATCAAGTTTTCTGCATACTTTCATTGTTTATCCACCTTAGGCTTCCATTTTCAAGTAGAGCGACTAGATGCCTAATTGAACGGTGACTGGTTGAAACAACTTAGCACAACCGCATATTCGTTGAAGTTGTCACAGCTCAAAGAAACAACAACACATCAATAGAGAGAGAAGGATGATCATATTTAACGGAGCAAGAGTCAGATAAAGTCAATATATATCCAAGCCAACATAGAAATAGATTGTATTAGAAGTAGTGAAGACTCCATTGACACTATAAAAAAACATAGTCAGTTAGCATCAACATGGCAACTGATATTACTGCGCAATGGTCCAGGCCTCCACACCCTATGTCACCATATCAAGGTAGCGAGAAACAGATGAAAGATGAGGGAATAAACAATGAAGCAGTGGGAAATGTCAGAAAGTCACAAAAAAAGAAACAAGACAATAACGGAAGATTAGAGTAATTTGTGGATAAGTCCGTGTCACTGAAATCGATTCTGAGCCACATAAGCTACAGTTTATACCCACCAATTTCATATGTCACGCGGATAACAACTGGAAAATCTACATTTCGTTGCACTGCACAAACTAACTGACAAAGACTTCATGAATCGATATCACGTTTTAGTCTCTCAACCTCCAGTCTTTATCCAGCTTAAACCTACTTCAGCTAACACTTTACGAGGAGGCAGGCAGTGACTAAGTAACGATAACAAAGATATGTTGCTGCTGAAATCCATTATTCCGGGGAGTACCGCCAGCGAATGTAGAGTAATTTATTAGGCTCAAACTGACGGCCGACAAATCAACTAATGAACAGCAACGGGATAAAATGTTCTGTTTATGAAGATTTTCAACACTGTGTAGTTTAATTACGTCAGGTAGTTGAATTTAGTCGGGAGAAAATCTTACTTGACGAACTATGTTTCGTGCTTACTGAAACTCGACAACAAGGCAAATCTACAACGAAAAGGGAATTGATACACTTTCAAAGATTAGAATTTGAGTCATTTGTAAGCACTTGTGGACTTGGTATTTCAGATATACTCCTTCCAGCAAGCATGCATTAACATGAAAAAAACTTAGGTCCATGACTCCCATGCAATTAAATTAGGTCATTTAATACCAAACAAACTAAACAATGTGGGCAAGTCCCTTTAACCTTTTGTAACTACACTGCGATTTGACTCACTAAAATTCAGTTAGTATTTATGAATGGAAGACATACGATCGATGAAGACAAATAGACGTCTTTCAACAACATAACTGTGCTATTTCAATGAGCATTAATTTTTATACATCATCAGGCGACGAGATACGATACTTTCGATTGATTCTATAAATGATCAGTCGATGACCTAAACATATGACCTGTCAAGTTTAACTTAAGCAGAAGGGTAAAAACTTTATTAACTCCAAAAAGATGAATGAATTTTATACACACAATGAAAGATGAAGTAGATTTCTGGTTGAAGGTTAACCGCCTTATCCAATAAATTATAATGACATTATCTAGTCAATTGGCGTGCATGTGACTGCTTCAAAACATACTCCAATTTTAATCCAATCACATGGAGAATGACTGAAATTTTCTGTATGCTAAACTTTGGACTGTAAAAAATAGCAGTTAAATTTCAATTCACCTCAATTACAAAATGCTGTCATCTATAAAAACTTGTTTCCGATAGTGATAAAATTATAGAACAGTATGTGTTTGAGTGTGCATACATGAGAGAGACAGAGCGCAATGGAAGATATTCGGTTAATATGACCATCATACTTAAGCAAATATGAATAAATACACAAGATGATATGACAGTATCTGAGATCTTAAAATTATAGCAGTCAGCATTATTAATTTTCAATACTCAAGAATTAGATAGTAAAGAAAGCTACAAAACTGATGTCTTCTATTTTCCTGGGAAACGGATACAAGAAACGTAGAGTTTTCTAAACAAACTCGGTGAGTGAATTGCTATCTTAGCTACAAAGACAAAGATTAAAGTGACAATTGCCGATTTTGATAATTATACATTGGATAAATGAGATGTACGACTCATGATGGAACGCAGAAAAAGTTGAAATGGCTTTGATCGATTCGCACAACTTGCAGTCCTATTGAGATAACCAAATACGCAGAGATGCGTTGCTTCTTATTTTATGGTTTTTAAACATGATCTCTAAAAAGAGAACTATTTGATAGGGTTTAGAATATTTCATCACCATAGCGTAGCCAATAGGTTATCACGAACACCCACAGCAGGTGTAGAGTCTTAGGTACAAAAGGGAGGTCAGTTGATAAAGTTATGGCCCTTCATCTAATAAGGTGAATGAGACGTTTGTTATGCATTCTGAACCACAGATCTACTTTGACACCCTAGGGTAGATGAAAACAGCTTATTTACAAGAAAGTTAAGAATGAATCGACAACATGTGGCATCCATCCATCAAATTTCCAACAGATGAAATGAGATATGTATAGACATATAGTGGTCACATTGCAAAATGATCAGAATTCAGTCAACACTCAGGTTCAGATATGAGATTGGTAACTCTCTAGTGATCAATCATTGTGTGTGACCCACTCTTACAGGAGGTCAGTCGCGGTTTGAATGGCTCGGTCATAACGTCGCTGACTGAAAACATTGAATAACACGGGTTCAAATCTCACAGGGGACACCAGTTTCCTCGAGATTGTAGATATGCCTTAGGTCCAAGGTTTCCTTCTGATTGCTTTCAGCCAACTTACATATAACTGTCTTACTCAGTTCTTTCAGGACGACTAAAACTAGTAATACGAGACGACGCATACTAAGGCATAGAACTGGTAAGTGGTATAGATCAATACATGCCCTATCTCTATCCAAGAAATATCTTTTCACCTTTATTTTGTTGATTTGCATCTTCTCCTTGGATATTTACGACACTGATTTTAGTTTTTTTTAGTTCTTTGTGACCTCTGATCTGGATGTGTTGATACTACGAGTGACAACTTGAAATATTACGTAATAATAACAGGTACTATTTGTTGACACATCGATAATGCGCTATGACACTTAGTTATCTAAACACCTAAGATTTATAAAACTTACACTGACGAGTCCAAAATAGGACGAAATACCCATGCTAGATTCTACTGCTAGCCACTATCCATCATTATTACACTAAAATAGTTATTAGATTCCCAGCCACAATGCACTGTGTGTTTAACAATGAGGATCAGACCGATAATTAAAATTATGACAGACTGTTATGACCGGGCTAACACATATAGCAACAGTACAGAAATAGGTAGAAAGAACAGGAATCGAAAAAACAAGCATATGAGTACAAAAAACAAATAAATTGAAGCAAATTAGAAAAGTTATAGGATGTTCAACATTTAGAAGATAAAAGTTGAGTAAAATTGTGTTATCATGTTTGACCTTGACCAAATTAACTCTATATATCTAAAAGTTAAATCCTTCTAAAATGAAGACCCACGTGAACTAACTCTTATCTCGATAAATAGCCTAGACCGACAGTCAAACACTTCGTAGATTGGTTAAAGTGTCTTGATTTAGCCAAAGTTTCTTTTGGTTACTTAAAACAGTAGAATTATGCAACTTCGTCAACTGACTCAATTTTATTCGCTGGACCTGGTTACCTAACTTCAATATCACTTACTCAGCAGTCGTAAACACATGTATAATGATGCTAATGATCGAAATTCAACAAAATGACACCATCCGCCTTAAATAGATACACCTGACATTGAACTGGTGTGTACTGTACTGGCCATTTAGTACGTATCTAAACATTTCAACGCTATCATAGGTAATGAAAGTTGACAGAAGTCAAATAACTTATTCACATTCACTATATCATGTGTAGTTGTTAAAACATGCAGCGATTTCACGCTCTTTACTAAAAAGGGAATTCGGTACAGATCAGTCCTGTAGCACCACCCTACAGGCGATAACCAAAAAGACTATGCCAGAGAACACAAATAAGATAGGGAAATTTGTTTCGATTACAATGGAGTTGTGAATCATTCTATATATGTGCAAGTGGAAAAAACCTCTCTGAACGATTGGCTAATTGACTCATCAACATTGTATTGTCCTTTGTTCCTTATCACAATGTAATTGGATGACCATAAAGGTTAGATTACCTTCTCTACGAAAACTTGAATATTAACTTTACAATATTAATATCAGATTCATACTCTTGGATAGGATCTTCCTAGCAAGATCGAAACGTTGAGGAATACTACAAAATATTTATCATTTATTCTAATGTACTTCGCCGGGATAAAACAAATAAAATAGTTTTTCAACTTTATTTTAGATGTTCTGATACAGGTAGCTGTGTAGTCTAATTGTAGGGTGCGGGTAACCTTAGTTTTCTAGATTAGAACACTGTGAGTGAAAATCTGTTCTCTAGTCTAGTCTTTTTGGTTATCGCATGTAGGGTGGTGCTACAGGACTGATCTGTACCGAATTCCCTTTTTAGTAACCAATCCCCTCCAGCATCAGGATCATGACAACAAGATTCAACTCAAAAGGAAGGAAAGTCACAATCATATAATGCCAATACTGCGCACCTACAAATAACGCAGATCAAGAGGAGGAATTCTACGGATAA